GTACAATTTACTGGATGACTGAAAATGTCAATGAAAGAATGCCTCTGAAATTCATGAGGGGCCTCTGCTGTTTCAACTGGTAGGTTAAATTATTAAGTTGTTCTCCATTTGAAGACTTCCTTTTCATGCATATGGTTTTAAAGCATCTGTGCAAAGAGTTAAAATTTCTTTTGTTTCAGAAGGTTTACCATTTTGGAAGAGAGAGCTTCTGTTGTGACTTCTTTCTTCCTACTTTCTTTCCCTCCCACCATCCTCCACATCTACACAGTATTTGATGATTTCTAGGTTTCCTTTTGTGTTATTATTTTGACAATCCAGACAGTAACATCAATTTTTTGTTCAGTGAGGGGAGAAAAAAAGTCATTTTCAGGTAGAATAATTAAAGTAAGCAATTCCTGGAAATTTTACTGTTCATCAAAAATTGTGATGGCAAAGGCAGCCAGGAACAACAGGGAAAGAGGCAGAAGAGAGCTGAATTTATATCTTGAAAACTATGAAGAATTGACAGCTGTAGAGAATGAAACTGGTTGAGCTTTTCCATTCTGCTCTACTGATACATCTCATGCAGTCTGACTCATGTGATTCAGGCTACATATTCAATCTGTCTTGACAGAAATCAGATTATTTAGAATCATATATTGTGCATGTTATGAGTGAGTGAGAATAAGAGGGGGAGGGAAAAAGACTGTGGGTGTATATGCATAGTAAATACAACTTTATCTTCCCATCATTTTTGCAGCGTTAGTAAATTCTGGTCATACAATTCAAATTAGTTTTATGCACTCACACAGCCAGTTACGAGTCATCTATGGTAATGGCAAGGGCTGTGGTCGTGTACTATTCTACCTGGTGATACTGTACGCATTGCTGGCAGCAGCCACTGGCCCCTATCTAGGCAAATAATGTAACCATATTGCCTATACTTCTGTCTGATTGCCTTTCAACACCGGAAAGAATAACTCTGAAACACTGTCTAACCTCATGTGTGATATGAGACACAGAGTACCCTAAAAAGCAACAATAGCTGGACTGCTATTCCCCACAAAGAGACAAAAATAGGTGTTCTTCCTAATGTCCTGAGAGAAAAAGAGCACACTGTGCTCTTTTATTTTCTCAAAATTCTCCATACACAACCTTGCTTTCTTCCCTTTAATTCTGAATCCATTATTATCTGTAAGATTTGACAGGCAAATGCAATTTAGTGTCTGGTTTGTTTATGAAGCGTTAATCCAGAGTCCTTAAACTGCTGAAGCTGGTTATTTGTGTTGGGTGCTTAGCCACAGAAGTCATAAAATATTTTTTCTGCTTCCAGACATTGACTTGAAAGTTGTAGAAATAAAATGAATGCCAAATAATGAATTCATCTGCCAAATTAATAATATATTTTGTCATGACATTATTAATCATTTATAAATACCAAGAAGATTTTTAACGTGATCATTCTGGAAGGCACTCATGTATGTGAATACAGATATATGACACCAGCACTGGCTGGTGCACATTTTCAACAATGGTTTGTTTTAGGTTTTTTTTTGTTTCCCACAGGAACAAGGTAGTGTATTTTTAATTTATTTCGGTGAGCAAAATTGCCACTGAACCCTGCTGAGACTTTGTAGATATGCTTCTGTACACGAAAGATGTGCTTATTCTTATATAATCATATCTTTCCATCATAGTGTCTTATCTAATAGCCAGGACCATATCTCTTTCAAATATAAAATGCCCAAAGTTCTGTTGATGATAAAAAGATGAAATATTTAGATATATACAGTTATTTACTGTATGTGGTTACCATAATGCATCAATAATACAATTTATCTGGGTTTTTTCTTTTGCAAAAAAAGTGTAAAACCAAAACCAATGAAAAAACATGTGTTTTTACATTCTTTGAGATCAGTCTGTCAGAATTCTATTAGCAACTATAATTTTTCAAAGGTTTGTCATCTCCCGAACCAGCTGAAAACAGAAGACCATTTTAATTCTTTTCCTGCATTGTATGCATACTGTAGATAAGAGATACAAAGATGATCAGGGGGCTGGAGCACCTCTCCTATGATGACAGGCTGAGAGAGTTGGGTTGTTCAGCCCGGAGAAGAGAAGGCTCCAGGGAGACCTTAAAGCAGCCTTCCAGTATCTAAATGGGACCTACAAGAAGACTGGGAAGGGGCTTTTTATAAGAGCAAGTAGTAATGGGAGAAGGTAATGGCTTTAATCTAAAAAAGAGTAGGTTTAGATATAAGGAACAAATTCTTTACTGTGAAGGTGATGAGACACTGACACAGGGATGACCCACCCCTGGCAGTGTTCAAGAACAGGTTGGATGGGTTGGATGGGGCTTTAACCAGCCTGGAAGGTGTCCCTGCCCACAGCAGGCAATTGTAACTAGGTGATCTTTAAGGTCCCTTCCAACCCAAACCATTCTATGATTTTACGTGTCTATGAACACATACAAAAGACCATAATATGTAGCAGAAGTTGTACTGAAAATACAAGCCTATATATACTTTCATTTATAGTTTCAGTCTTTGTTGTACAGTGCATGTTTTAAGATTCTGGAAATCAGTATTTGGAATTTGCTAGGAGATATAGAATTCTGTGACAAACCTTCTATTTTCTGGGGTATTAGAAGGACATAATATCTACTTTTCTATTAAGAAATTTTCTTAGAAATTTCAATACATTTCATTTCCAAATCATGGACTTCTAATATTTAAGCTAAAGAAGTCACCTTTCACTATCTCTGAAATAAAATAAACCTGCTCTTAATCTACTTACTCAGTTTGGTCAGCTATGGGTCTCATGGAAAGGCTGCTGAGCAGTTAGTTAGTCGTATGCACAAATATGAGATCAGTTCTTAACGCTTCTGTACTCCCTCTTGGGTAGCACATCTACACATCTACAGAGTTGAAGACAGTAATGTGATAAACAGATTTCAGGAGCAGGTATACTCATGAGTTCAAACACAGTTTTGAGCCAAAGCTGAAAACTCGGGAAGATGATGTGTACGAAAATGTTCACAGAAGAAAACATACTGAAATTAAACCTATGATTGCATTATTTACTTCTGCTTTTCAATAAACATTTATTTTCTGTCTTGCTTAAGTAAATACATGAGTTTGCTCATTTCCTTATTACAGGCATGGTTGCTGTTCAATATGCTTCCTATAACTGATATATGTTTTCAAATATATTCATAAAAAACCTTACTACTCTTAGATCCAGTCTATGAAGAGAACGTATTCATACTAAGCAGGTGTGTTCATACTAAACAGGTGTACAGCACTAGTGATCAGGAAGGAACACCTATGAATATTTATCTGTTACTAGGCACAACATTTGTGTCAGACCAGTAGACGACGCTAACTAACTAAAAATAGAAAAACAATTACTTTATTTCTTTTATTGTTGCAATTGTCAATATAGGAGCTGAAGCATTAAAGGTGTAGTGGGAGATCTAGTCAACACTGGGAAAACCACTTGCTCTTTAGAAGTTTATTCAAAAGCAAAAAGTACACACATTGCCTAGTCTTCCTTCTCATTAATCATTTATTGTGGAAAGAAAGCTTTGTAAGCAACTAAAATTGAATCGGTAATAAAAAAAAAATCATGTTCTACAGAATGCACAAAAGCTATTATAAAGAGATACTCACAAAACATAGATTAGTGATAAAGGCTTCACTTCATCACCTGGCAACCTTAACCATAACTGTCACCATTGCAAGCAAGGGAAGATAAAAGTTTTGTGATTCTGGGACTAATACATTTAAATTAATTATACAATTTAAGCTGCTATTTACATGAATAAAATTATAACTGATGAGATGAAACCTGCTGAAATGAAACCAAACTCTCAGCTAGATTGCTCTTTTCAGGTGTCAGGTTTTGGAGTTTCAGTGCTTAAAAAAATGAAATCTCTTCCCTTTTTTATTGAAAACAGGTCTAGGAAGAAGGCAAATAATCAGTTGACTGTATTGTTTTTCAGCCTGGGATAAAGGAAAGGTAGATACTAAGATTTTCAGATATTCTGAACGAATACAAAAAGGAAATTTTTCTTGTATAGCAACCTAGATAGCAAGTATCTAGCTGGTAACTAATGTACTTCAAAACAGATAAGTGGAAAAAAAATGGGAAGCAAACAAAACTCTCTCTGTAGTCAGCCTCAAAGATTTTTCATCATCTTCATAGCCTAGTGTGAAATCTATTTTTGTGTGATCAGATGTGAAACTTTTCTGTGTCCGAAATACTAGTTTAATCCTTATGACAGAGACCACTGATCAGAAGAAAACTAAGCAAAAGAAACATAAATTTACGTGTTTATTTTGCTTTTCTGTTTAAATGATGGTAATCATTGTAATAATCATAGATCCTGCAGCCATGCCTACACGGGATCAGATGACAGCATCTTTAATGTGTACCTTTTGGTTTTCAAATGTAGAGAGCAGTCCTCACTGTTGCAGTTTTTTACCCTAGGCTGCAGCTGTCAGTGATCAGGAAACGTGTTTGTACTGAGGACTGATAAGGTTTTATTTGAAGGGAAGCAGCACCATCTATTGCAACCTGATAGCTTAGCTCTAGATGATATAAAGAGCAGAGCTGGCCTGAGCCCAGTTTTAAGCTCTTACTTGCACTTTCAGAATTTTTTCTCAGACCTGCTTCAAATGAGGTTAGGATCTCAGTTTTTATATGATACAGGAAGAGGGGGTTGTGGCATGTGTGCAGGTGTCTAGTAAAAAAGTGCATCTAAGAGACATACTTGTTTACAAACAAAGATAAAATAACAGCATAAACTTAGTCTTGACTACTACTTTTGAATGACTTGGATGAAATTTTAATTTTTGAAGTGGGAAGATAGTCAAAAGTTTAGAGTATGTTTTACTCAGGTGATATTCTCTCAAAATTTACTTAGAAGCAGCATTAATGTAGGTGTACAGTACCATATGTTCTAATAATGGCAGTGCTATTGTCATCCATCTATACCTCTGGTTCTTCTCTTTTTCCAGACTGTCTACAAAGCCTGGCTCTGTTCCCAGTATTTTGAAGTCACACAGTTTCACTGCAGCAACAGAATTCCTTGCAAGCAATACTGTTTGGAGGTTCAGACAAGGTGTCCCTTTATATTACCAGACAATGATGATGTCATCTATGGAGGACTATCAAGTTTCATCTGTACAGGTATAGTATAGAAAGCTAATTTCACTTGTTTTCATAAGTCTATATGTATAGGAGAGTGTGGATAATGTTTCTTCCATTAGAACTATGAGAACCTGAAGGTATTCCCTGTCACAAATACAGGTGATCACACCTCACCTATCAGAGGTGGTAGGATTTGAGCCCAGATTTAGTAATGCACATTTATGCTACAGCTTGCCATAGTCATTAACTTTACAAAACAAACTTACTAGAATAAATTGGTTCTGGTGTGGGGTTTTTTATGCTTAATAATTTAGTGGAAGAGTTTTATTGCTCCGTATCATGCAGTGCTCGGAGAAGAGTAGCTCTGTGTCATGCAATATTCAGAAAAAAGGAAAAAGGCAAGTCCAGTTTTTAGTATATTCATCTTTGTTCCCCTGCCTTCTTAAGTTAAATAAACAAAGATTCTGAGGTGTAGCAATCAAAACTATGCAGCACTTTGAAAGTAAATGTCTAAAGAAAAGGGCTGTCACTAGCAAAGAATTTTAAGAATTAGTTCTTCACCTGTAAAAAGCTGATCTTTTGGTCTCTTCTTGAGTCTTTTTATATTCTGTGAGTAATTTTTAAAGGTATTGCTAATATAGGTCTACGCGTTTATAAAATGGTTTGGTTCATTTAACATTCCATTCTGCTCAAACACTATCTCAGAATGATCCAACCAGGGAGGACATAGTAGGCAAGAAGTAGCTTTAGTACATCTCAGGTGCCTCACACACTTTTTTCAGGACTGGCTGAGAGACATCCTCACAAAACTTCAGCTTATATCCATGCTATCTGCAGCTTTCCAGTGTCTAGAGTATCGCCTGAGAATCTTGATGATATTCAGGCAACTTATTCCCACTGAATCAGTAAAAAGGCACTTCAACACTTAGATCTTTTGACATCCTGATCCAAATATCTGAAATTAGACATCTTCAACATTAAATTAGGGCTGCACTGTAAACCTTGATACAAAATCAGTTGCCCATGGTAAGCTACTTAAAAGCAGAGTAAAATATATAACCCCATAAATGTTTGTGGTAACTCACTTCACCTTATAACTGTGTTTGGATTTACGGAGGTTCTGGTAGTCTATTGCACACAACTGAGCAATATTCATCCATGTGCAAAAGACAGTATAATGAATTGTATCCTGAGTTACAATTTGGTAGTCATCCATAACGTAATGTACTTAACACTTCAGTGCATTTCATAAATATGCCTTCCAATGTGCCTACATCATAAGCAAATGAGTGATATTTTCCAGTTTAAAATAGGACAGTAAAAGCTGAAGTGAGAAGATTAGGACATTTTTATTTACAACATGTATACAATATATATGCGTATACATGCATGTATGTACATGTGTGTATACATATACATACATAGTGGCGAAGAATAAACCAACAATAAACAAAATCATATTTGTAATTATTTCAGAAAATCTCTTAGGAAATACATATCCACATCTTCATTTTTTCTATTTTATCTCCAAGTCCAAATTCATTCCTAAGACACATAAAATAGATGACCTTGCAAGGATTACTTAGTTAATATCTCAGTTTGGGATGAAAAGCAGATTTTGCAAAGGATTAAACTCATTTTACTCCAGGTATTAGTAGCATAAACTGTGATTAAGTTCTCAGTAGGGTCACTGAAGATCTGGTGTAGTCGGTAGAGCTGTTTAATTCAGTCTAAGTAGGCATCTGCACCTGGCGAGCTGACTAGCTCTCTATGCTCTGCTAACAGTGCTGGCTGCTCTCTTGTTTGCTGTAGCTGCTATTAGTCACCAAAGTCTTATTGCAGACACTTAAAATCAGGGAAACCTCAATCTCATCTAAGCAGTCCACTAATATTTGATTGAACTTTTTGTTCTCTTAAGTCAAGACCCTCAGCATCAAGAGAGCAGAGCTTGTATTCATGGACCCATAGGAGTCAGCATTCTGACGCTAGGCAGTTGTGGGCAAGAGATGATGCTGAGAAGTACAGGGCTGCAATTCAAACTTTGTCCAGAATAAAGGCCCATGGTCAACCTCTGCAGCTCTGTATAAGGGGACTTCCTTCTGCTAAACAGGGTATTAGACTAATAGCTGCTGTGGGACTAAAGAATTAAATTTCTCTGCAGCTTAGTGAAAACAGTACAGTGAGTTCAACAGCAGAAAAAATACTCTACCTCAACATGGCTTGTGGCTTGACAGTTAACTTGAATTCCTTTTGCAGAAAAGCAACTGAAAGCAGGTCACCCTTGTCTTGAGGAACCTCTTCTGCTGCTCTCTCTGTGAGCTCGTGTTTGGCAGACATGTTCTAGGATTTCTGCTCTTCCTGTCATTTGTGAAATTCATTGGCAAAACCCAGAAGAGTCAGATCAAAGATATATCTATTTGGTATTTAAGTCTTATAGCTGGTTGTCTGCTGTCTCCAGTTGATCTAACTTCACTATGAAGCTGATCACCATTGAGCTCTGCTACAGGAAACAAAGCAGGAGCAAACTTTATGTTCAGGTATTCCTCATGAACAGCATTCTGTCACAGCCTGTCACTCATTGAAATTACTCTTGAATATCCCTGCTGCTCCTGACTCTGATGGTATCCCATGGAGAGAAAAGCTACCAGTCATTTTTTGAAATTTTCACTTACATTTTCAGAGAAGCCCAGCAGGAACTGAATGGGGTTATGTTGGTGCGATATTCTTTTCCTCAATGAAACTAACGAAAGACTATCTAGCTAGCTAAGAAAAACTATTAATTAGAAAATAGTTTCTGGAGAAAATAAAGGAGCCCCCCTAAACAGGATGACTTATCTGAGAAACATCAAGAATTTGTGGATTCTGATTTTCTTTAATAACGTTTCAGAAGCAACAATTTTATAATAAGGGCTTTCCTTCCTCTTCTCCATGGTAACAGACTATTTCCTCTAAGGTCCGGTAGAGACTGAGGCTAATGGAAAGACAGAAGATCGACTTCTATAAAACATTTCAATATACTGCGGAAGGCAAGTAATAGGAAAAAGGGTACTGGTGATAACCAGTTTTATTTGATGTTGACTACAGCACAGAGTGCAGGATGTGTGAACGTTACATGTCATTTTTCAGTTGCAGCTGAGTAAGAGACTGGTGTGGCTCCATGTCACTGGTGGCACTAGGAGCTGCTGCAGCAGTACCAAGCCACTGCCTCCCCTTGCTAGCCCTCTTCCACCACAGCAGTAGGCAGGCGCATGCTGGCATCAGTGGGCAGAGAACCCACAGACTTGGGTTTTTTGCTTTCAGAACAGAATTTTCTCAAGGTTGGATGCTGTAAAAACAAAGCAAAACAAAAAAGTACTGGAGGTTGTGAAAAGGAATAAGAACAAAAAGAAATAATAACAAGGACCATTCTAAGAAGGCTCACATGATGAAAACACAGCATGGGACTGTCTAATTTTAGCCAAGAAATTTTTCAGTTGTTTTCTTTGGCAACATTAAAAAAAGTAGTTTATACCATGGATTAATAAAGACTTCTTGGAAATTCTTGAGGACTGATATAAGAAGACATTCTAGCCTGAGAATATCTTACTTGATTACCTGCAACAAAAGTAGACAGTGGGAAAAGGAGAGGGAATGCAACACTAGTTGTGGATCACTGGAACTTATCTTGTGTAGAAATGCATGTAAGGATGTGGGTCAACTGCATCACAAAAGAAAGTACTTGGGAGATTAATCAAAACAATCAGAATCACAGTTTGGTTCTGATTACAGAAACATGCGGTTAGCTAGAAAGAATTTGTGTTCCACTCTCCCCACTTTCTTCTAGGAATAGAAGAAAAATGTTGGTCTTTCCATCAGACAGTGTTCTGGAACATACTGTTTTTCATACTCATTAAAATTGAATGGTTGCTTTCAGTTTAGACCTTTGGAGTTTATATCCATATGAGTTAAGTTTCATCTAATGTTTCTTTCTGCAGCTCAGATGTCTAGAATTGCCCATACAAAGCAGAATCTTATTTAAGAGAGATAATAATAGTGTTCAGACATACATACCCACATGTCAGATTGCAATGAATGAGTCCCACGCAAAGTTCTAGGTCAAAGGTTTTAATTGTGATTCCTATGAAAATAGCGTCATAGCAGATAGATTGTTTTCTTTCATAGATGTAGTCATCTTTTCCTCTTTTCTCCCAGTGTGAATAGAACAAGTGGAAGATTTTGTTCACATTGAGTGTGAAAAGAGAGATGAAAGATGTATGACTCTTTGTACAAAGCACTGGAAAGAGACTGGTAATAATTCACAACTCCTGCTTTTCCCTTGCCTTCCAAAGTAATGTGGTCCAGCAGCTGGCTTGGCGACTAGTCCAGCCCATGAACTGTTTCTGTTTGGCTTGCTGCCATCTCCCAGTGGAAACAGAGACTGGTAACAGGAGGCATGAACGTTTTCTTCACAACCAATCCATTTAGGCCTGAAGTTTGCTTAACCTAAAAAACATGAGAGCTCAGTTTCCACCAAATGAGCAGCAGAATACGCAAAGAGATGACCTCTCCCCGCACATGGCCCTTCCAGGATATGACATCAACACCAATACTGCAATTGCATCCACATTAGTGATCTAGTTCAGGAGTGTAATTTTGAAGCAAATCTCCTGTTCATACTTCTTGTTGTTTAACTTGCACTGGGGAGAGGTCTTGGAGGATTTGAACTGGGTTCCTTTGGATTAAACAACCAGGAGATGTGCTACTGGAACATACCTAGCATGTCCCAAATGCTAATGCACATTTTGACCTACAGAATTAGACTAGAGCTAGAGTGAGTTAAAAATCCTTAAAATGCCTTTAGAGTTGACACAAGATACTCAGCACCAGCTGTTTCATCCTACATATCTTCTCTTGCCCCAGACTACTTGTTAATACGGACATAGCCTATTCTGGTTTCTGGGAGAATAATCCCAAAACTGCTGTCCATGTGCCAAGTCTGGACTACATCGGAATGCTGAACTAGAGCTTGCTGTGTTGCTAAGCTCCTTCTTTGTATTGAC